GGTAGAGCGCTAGCCTTGAGCTGAAGAGCTGAGGGACAGCGCCCAAGCCCAGAGTTCAGGCCCCACGAACGGACACACACACACACACACACAAAAAAAGATTTTGTTTCTCATAGGTGTTTAAAATTTGATTCAAAATGTCTGGCTCCTAGGTTTATATTTTAGGTGACACAACAAAACAAATAGATGCATATAAAACAAAATGTTTACATTCAATGGTCCATGACCTCCAAATAAATAATCTCATGCTTTCATTTAATCAAGAGAGTCCATTCGTGCTAGTATAGTTCAGTTGCTAAGAGATTGCTCTGCTGATGTGAATACACAGGAAAAAATCCAAGAGTGAGTGGACATACTTTGATTGCAGGAGAAGCTGCTATTTCCACTAGTAGAGAAACCAGGAAGAAACCTTTGCTGCAGTCCCCACCAGGAAATGCAAACAAAATGTCCATGTTCCTAAGAAAATTCAAATAGGAAAAACACTTGGCAAATCATTTATTTGTAAAGAACCCTCAAGCATTTTGTTTATACCATCTTATTTTCAATGGTATGGCTAGTCACTGTTGCTACTACATATGTGAGCATATTAAGAGTCAGTCATATTAGCCCATGGTTTAAGACCATATTCAGTAAACTTGGAAATGTATTCATGAACTTGGCAAATTCCCCCCAATAGGTCTGTTTCTATCATTTCATTAACTTCTTCACAAGCATGTATATTATCATAGACATTTACTCCACGTTGAGAGAGGAAAATTTGAGGTAGTTTTAAGAGATAGTTTTGTTGTTGTTTTAAGAAATCTATTCACATTTTTATCTTTATTTGCAACCCTGTTTTCTCAATGGTTTCTCTGCTTTACCAAGGAATTGACTTGGAAATTTATAAAACTGTTTGGACCCCATTATTCTTTTGCATTGAAGTTCTGGCGTGGATGCTAATATTGCCTCAAAACCTATAAAACTGTGGGGTTTGTACATAGTTAGATTTGGAGTTCCGAAGCCCCAAATCTTCCACTCCTGTTTTGTCTTTGTTGTGTGGCCCTAGCTAAGGTCAGTCACGTGACACTGCCTGCATGCTCTTTCTCTTGTCTCTAACTCAGGACTGATGGCACCAACCTGATGCTGAAAAATCTCAAAGAATTTTTAATTCCTGATCATAGACAAAAAGGCCCTATACAATCATTTTTATAAATCGTTTCTTCATGCTTGTCTCCTTCTATTATCATCATTTGTCATTTTCAGTGGCACTAACTCAACTTCAGCACTGATGATGCACCAAAACTTTTGTTACTCCAAAGCTATCACAATTGTTGTTTCCTCTCCTGTAAACAGCCCCAGCATTTTTCATCTTCTAACTAATTCCTTCTCTGGCGGCTCAACTCCGATAAATTGCTCAGGGATTCTTGCCTTTAACTTCTTATTTGATTAGAGTCCCTAGCACTTTACTCTTCTTCTTAATCTTCATGTATTCCTTTCCTCTTTTTTATTCTACTGTCACCTGGCCAGGATTACACCTGCCATACTTAGTTTTTCTAGCAGCTATATTGTTGCCTAGTTCTGGCACAGAGGTCCTAGATCATATATACAAAATGTTTTGTATGTACGTGTATTGATTATATACTTAGCATGTAAATTACATACATAACATGCAAATCTCGCTTGTATATAACTCAAATAGATGCAAGACAGGCATACCAATTGTTATTAAGACATTTGCTAGTCCTAAATTAAGGGCTGGGATTATTTTTCCTTCAAATAATTACCTAAATTAGTTTTTATGTGAATTCTAACATTTAAAAATGCAATGTATATTCACTGTGAATATCAAAAAAATCTTAGAATAAAAAAAGAAGCACATACTTACTCATAAGTCATGGGCCTTATGAAAGCATCCAGGAAGTGGTGAGCAATTGGAAGAAAGAAAGAAAACCAATTTTCAGATTAGTTTGAATTATTGTTATTAGACTAAATACTACTTACTATGAGCTACCAGCAATAAAATGTAGGTAACGCAGAAAAAAATGCTTTCAAATATTTCTGTTTGCTTTGGAATACTATGCAAAGAATATACATATTCCAGACTCTTGTTGCTATTAAGACACTTTCTTTGTCAAATCCTTTCGCTTTTTGGTGCTACTGTGAAGAACACCCCTTATAGGTACACCTTGGGGCTACTGGGCACTGTAAGTCTCTCTCTCATACCTATGCTGCAGCAGGTCCCATCCCTACAATAATTTTGGGCAGGTAGCTCTGAAAGCTAAATGTTGCTGCCTATCCTGCTGAAGATGTACTCACTTCAGTGGAACTGGTCACTTAAATACCAACTTTGTGAAAGTTCACAAAACATGCTAGTCAAATGAAGTCAAACACAAGAATGTCTGCTCTCTGGCTTTATTAATATGAAATTGAATAACAAAATCAACTAGCTGGGCATCATAGCACATTCTTGTAATGCTAAAACTCAGGAGCCCAAGGCAGTAAGATCACAAGGTTCAGACCAGCCTGCAATGCATAGCAAGTTGGAGATTAGCCTGGTCTATATGGTGAAACCATGTCTAAAAACAATATCTATTTTTTATATAAAATCAGCTAATTTTGTTAAGTCAAAGTAGGGTATATTTGCATAGAGAAGGGAATTGGTTAGAAAAGATAAATGAATATATATATATATATATATATATATATATATATATATATCTTGCTAGGGTGGTTCTTTCATATGGTATATATGTAATCCTCAAAAGCACACTGAATACACAGGATCTTTGTTTATCCTGTATGCTGACTATATGACTGTCTCACTCATGTACAAGGTATCTGTAAATACAGATATAAGAGTTCAAAAACAATTTCCAACCCCACACAAAGCTGTGCTGCCAAAACTTAAGTTAATATAAAAACTAGATTTATTTATTTGTTTGTTTGTTTATTTTGCTAAATCTCAGAGTGTGAGCTCAGGGCCTCATTCTCAACTTGCTTTCTGGGCTGGCACTCTACCATTTGGGCCATGCTTTCTTGGTCTTCTTGTTATTTAATTCGAGGTAGAGTCTTTTCTTCGAAGGCTGGTTTGAACAGTAATCCACTAGATCCCAGATTCCTTAGTAGCTAAGATTACAGACATGAGCCACAAATGCATGATAAGAAATGTACTTATTATCTTGCCCATGAAATTGTAACCCCTCTGTACAGTAGTTTCACAATAAAAAATAAATAAAAATTTAAAAAAAGAACCCAATTTGCAACTAGCTTTCGATGATATACATCCCAACTCCTGTTCTAGTAACACTGAACTTACCCTCTGGGATCCTTTTTCTTCCAGTTTGCCAGCACACAGTCAGCATAAACTAGAATGGGTGGCAGCCCCAGACTCTCAGAGAGTTTGCAGTATGGAACAGCAATGTTTCTTGGCAGGACCTATGGAGTATGGTGCTCACTTTGAATCATCTTACCTTGTCTTCCCTCTCCTGCTCACATTCATAGTTAATATGATGGTGCTTGGACTCCAAACACATTCTACTTTCCATTACTAACCCTGGAAATTTTCAAATGCTTATGTTTTGGATTTAGATTGATATAGCCACAATTTGTCCCAAGAGAGAATATAAAACCCTGTTCTTTTTTTTTTTTGGGTCCGGTTGTGGAGCCTGAACTCTGGGCCTGGGCGCTGTCCCTCAGCTCTTCAGCTCAAGGCTAGGCTCTACCACTTGAGCCACAGCGCCACTGCTGGCTTTTTCTGCTTATTGTGGTGCTGAGGAATGGAACCCAGGGCCTCAGACATGCAAGGCAAGCACTCTACCACTGAGCCACTTCCCCAGCTCAACCCTGTTCTTTTCACTTTCTAATGACCTTGTAAGCTATTTTCCCTCCTTCATCCATTCAGCCTGGGAATATTTGTAGGGAACTTCCTCCATTGAAGTCACCACATTATCCACTGACAAATAAAAAAGATAAAATTTGGTTGTCTCAAAGATGTCTATAGATTTGGGGGTTTTGTATTTAAGACCTGTATTGCCCAACACTGGTTGCTCACACCTGTAATCCTAGCTACTCAAGAAGTTGAGATTAGAGGAAGCCAGTTGAAGCCATGCTAGACAGGAAAGTTCATGAGACTCTTATCTCAAACACCAAAAAGCTGAAAGTAGAGCTGTGGCTCAAATGGTATAGCACCATTGTTGAGTGAAAAAGCTAAGGGAGAGATCTTGGACCCTTAGCAGCACAAAAGAAAAAAAATGTAAGATTTCACTGGAAGTATAAACAAATCCATATCCTTGAAGCTCAGTGAAGATGATGATGATGTGTATATGCATACGGGGAAACTTCCCTGACAACCACACTGATGCTTGAGCTCAAAGACATGCCTATGTCTGGAAGAGGGAGACATTTTTCCCTCATTGGGGATTTCAGTGTGGAAATGCATGTTGTGCAATGGCATTCTTAGCTTTCTCAGCTCTTGTGCTCATTCACCTTTACACAGAGAAGATATGGAGATCTCCCAACTATTGGGTTTGGAACTGAAATCACAGCTAAGCCCTTTCTTCTTTATAATGCTTCTATTTCTAGCAAAATTCTGTCATCAGCCATTTAGTAAAAGCAATGTGTCCCTGCTAGGCAGTCCTATAGCTGTCTTCTACTCCCTTTAACTGGATAATGTAGTGGTTAATCTTGATTGTCAACTTCATAGGACTTGGCAGCACGTAGGAGGTTAGTAAACTCACTCCTGGCTATGTCTGTGAGGTGTTTCCAGAGAGGATTAGCTAAGAGGGAAAGAGTCTCTCTGAGTATCAGCAGCACCAACCCTTTGACTGTTAGAAGAAAAGGGGAGGGACAAAGCCTTCTAGTGCAGGCCTTCTCTCACCTTCCTGGCTGTAATAAGGTTGAAAATGTCCTCCACCATCTTTGCCTGCTGCCATGATGTTCTGCCTAAGCATGTGAAACTAGATGTTCGTGGATTGAAGCCTTTGAAACCATGAGCCAGATAAGTCCTTCCTTTCTTATGTGGTTTCCCTCAGATGTCTTGTCACAGAGATGAGAAAGATAACTGATGCAGTAGGAAAAGAGTCTGATTCACAGCTCTTCCAGCCTGTTAGTTTCATACTATGAAAGAGCATGTTCTCCAACAAACAGCTCCATGGGTTACACAGCTAACATTTTATTCTCCATGTGTTCGACTTCACCAATTAACCATCACTTGACTTTGACCTCATTGGGCCCTTGTAGTGGTTAGTGTAATCACACACCATCACCAGGAGCCTGTAGCTGAAATACATCTAAGCAAGGGAAGAAGAGGGAGGTGATGGCTAATTTCAGTGGTAGGTGGTGGAGATGCAGTTTCACACCATTGAGTAATTCTGACTTGGAAAAAGGACAGGAAATGTTCTAATACATCTTTGTTCTAGGCATTCCTGCTATGAAACACAATGGCTAATTTGTTGTCCTTTCTCAAACAAAATGTGCCTGGTATAAATTCCTCCCTTTAAATTCCTCTTGTATTTTTCATTGCCACCTCCTACAGAATGACGTAGTATACAAAAACACAATCAATTAAAAAAAAAACAAATTTCATCCTTTCTTTCACAATTGTGGCATCTAGTCTGACAAATCTATTATTTTTAGCAATGCTGTGTATAGTCTAGCCTCCATGACAAGTGCTACTGTTTTCCCTCTTTTCTGGTCCACATTGCCTCTACATTTTGTGATAACACTCACTACCATTGAAGTCCCCAGAAACACGGCTCAGAGAGCCTCCAGTTTCGATATCTACCACCCCTGACCCCCTGTATATGCACAATTTGGTAAAACACATTTCTAGCAAGTCTAGTGAGATAGTGCAGTTAAGTAACATTTAAGCTAGATTGTAACAGTAGAACAAATGTGGCAGTTTGGTGATTACAAATAGTCTATAAAGAAATGAAAGGTAATGAATACATTCATATTATAAGACAGGAGTTTTTCCTCTTAAGTTTCTTCCTCTTTTCTCTATAACTTATCTTACTGGTGGATTATGTTGTATTTGTCTTTAAGCAGGGTGTGAAAAGATAAGCAACTACGAAAAGCAGGCAAATTGCCTTTCTCCAAAAGGAAGATTTTATTAAATGGTAGAAGGTGCTGCTATAATGTTCTTTATTCCTTCTTGATTTGAAACTGCTTTGGTTTCATGTGAATATGGTTGCCAGTAAGATGTAGAAAGCCAATAAATTTTATCATGTCATATGTGTACTAAAAATGTTCATTTTTTTGTTTATCTGAGGGTCAAATTGCCTGTATTTGCACTGGCAGAATCAATATGAGTAAGACAGGACTTCCATTGTAATGCTGGATAGATAATGAGCAGATGTTGGCAACTATATATTTTATTTTAATTCTTCTGCCTCTCATTTTCTCTCTCTTTCTTCCTTATCTTCATTTGTCCTGCACTAAACCCTTAGAAGAGTCACTGGGAACATCTTTTGTTTAGATTTACAGTTAAATTGCTATTAAGGCTGATTTGTAATGGTTATGTTCTCATAACTACTACTTTTATAGAAAATAAGAGCATGACTAATATGTATATTCATATAAACATATGTTTTGAAATTAATTATTTAATTCTGTAAAACGTGAAGCCATCTATTCCTCTGTGTTGATAGATGCAAATGCTTGAGTATTAACTAAAAGAGCTATTCAAAGGTATCACTGTAGAAATATTATGACACAAAATATTTATCAGTAGAAGAGACAATAATTAAACTAAAGTTCAGAAATTTAGTGAAAAAGGATACAGCTATTTCAAATGACTAGGATGATTGCCTAGTAACAACAAAAAATTTCATGATAGGTTTAAGTTAAAGTCACAGGATAGGAATAATCCAAGTAGAAGACTAAAATAAAATAACGATAGCAGTGGCATGCTAAGTCAGTAAATGCTTGTATTCTTTCCCTGTCTATTCTTTTGCTCAAGCTTTAAGATTGAAGTTACAGTACTTAAAATGTTTAAGTCTTTCTTCACAGTGCTGAAGATAAATCCAGGGCCTTCTACATGCTAAGCAAGAACTCTGCCACTGAGCTATACTAGCCCCAAATAAATTGTTTATGTTACATCTATACTGAATATCATTCTAACAGAAATGAGAACCCACTGTGAGACATGAACAACATCAAGAAATGTTCAAACCTTTTTGATATCTCCATCCCCTTTACCCCACACATATCCCATGGTGATGCAACCAAGAACCAGATGTGCCAGGCGCTGCAACTTGTGTCCTTGTAGACCATCCACACTGAGCATTGGTAGCTAAGAACAAATGAAGCAAGATTTCATGGAAATCAGTTTGGGTGGTGCTTCAGGTTTCAAAAGCAAAGATAAAAAAAAGTTAAGAAATTTAACAGGAAGACAAAATAATTATAGCAAACCTTCTCAACCTCTGCTCGAAGGTGACCATTCGCAATTAGTGTGGGAAGATTTTTACCAATGAATATCCAGGCATTATACTCATCGGGTAGCTCTTCCTTGAAAAAAAAACATACACAGAGCTTTGATTTGATTACGGTCAAAAGTATTTTACTGTAAAATAGGAAATTACTATAAAATAGGATTGGCTTTCCACTGACAGCTCTCCTTGCCTTTAGCTCCATTTTATGCAACATTGGCTGTACAACACCCGTCTCCACCCACCAGCCATGCTTTGCCGCCTCAGATTGTCTCTGCTTCATCTCCTCTCTCTTCAAGCATGGAATTATACCTATTTCAAATGTCTACTCAAAGTTTCACAAAACCTTGCTTACTACTCCAGCTAATACCAGTCCCCTCCATGATAAGCCCCACTCTTAGATGATTTGTTATCTGCTACTCTTTCTTAGCTAAATTTTCAGTTCTTTAAGTAGAAAAAAACAAGAATGTATAAAATATCACTGTAAGAGGCAGGTTAAAAGGTGCTTTTAAGGGGTATTTGAACTAAAAGCCCCCCAACTTTGCATCCATGCCCTTTGATCTGATCTACTCTCTGTTCAAGTCCCTTTGCACTTACCTTGGATTCTAGGAAAAAGAGGGTCCGCTGATAAGTATCTTGTGAAGAAAGGAAACTGACCAAAAGGAAACTGCCAAAAACTCAGGAGATCACCTGCCAGGTAACTTGTCCCAATAGTAAAGTGATAGCAATTTGCTAAAACTCCTCTAACAACAAAGACGGAGGTAATTGTCAAGTTCCAAATCATACCTGTGATTTATTACTTTTACTATGCACACTGTCCTCATCTCTTACCCCCAATTCTCCCTATTTAAGTTGAAGTTAATGCCTGTACCTCAGAAGATGGCAGACTTACTGAAGTAGGTGACTGCCATGTAATGAATCTTCTTTCTCAACCTTTCACCATGTCTCTTTATTTGGCATGTGGGGGTGAGTAGCTACACCCAACCTGAGACTCCTGCGCCTAGGGTCTAAAAAAACTGGTTTATCACTAGTGGATTAGTCATTCTACTCAATAATGTCATATATGATACTACTTATTTAATTCTTGTAATGTCCTCAAAAGTTGTTTCTTTGCGATAAATAAAAACACCTGGCTCAGTTTATATAATGTTCTATAGAGAGAGTTTATCCTGCCTTATGCCTCTCCCATTATAATCTACTTGAGGGTGTGTCCCTGAAGTTGTAAAAATGACAGTGCAAATGGAAGGTTTAACAAATCAATATGGATGAGGCTTCAAGCTTCAAAATAAAGTTGGTATCATACATAAACTGTAAAGCAAGGCGACACAAAGTTCAAATATGAACGTATTTGAAGATCTCAAGGTCTATATCCAGTCTTAATCAGTGAAGGCAGACTTCCAGCCAGGTTGTCACCAGGCAGTCACCTTTTTTCCTCCCTGATCTCACACACCTCTGTTCTGGTACTCTTCCTAGAAATACTTTCTACTGTTTTGTGCTTCACTGTGTAGCAGACTCAATTTTTTAACTGGTGTTATTTTCCCTGCATTTTTGTTGTTGATCTATAGCCTAACTAGCACTTTTAACAGATATAAGATTTAATCCATAACACAAAGAGCCTCTACTCTCTACTTACTATTATATACAAATAAAGAAAAACAGAGGATCGTTCGAATTCTGCTAAGCTAGAGAAGGTATTTTGTAACTATAATAGAATCAAAGACAAACTATTTTCCTCTAGACAAGGGAATTGATAGAGTATGAGATGCACAGTACTAGGCAGGTTTTAGCTCATAATTTCTAGGAAAGATTTTTGTTAAAGAAGTAATCACTAATTTCCCCCACCCCTGCCTTTTTGTCCGTTGTGGGGCTTGAACTCTGGGCCTGGATGCTGTCCCTCAGCTCTTCAGCTCAAGGAGCTACCACTTGAGCCACAGTGCCACTTTGATCCTTTTCTGCTTATGTGGTCCTGAGGAATAGAACCCAGGGCTTTATGCATGCAAGGCAAGCATTATACCAATGAGCCACCTTCCCAGCCCCTCATGTTTTAAGCTATTTATGACTAACTCCCTCAGTATCTCAGGGTGCCAAACTATTTTTCTCCCTGTGGTTGCTACTTCCTTTTTACTGCTTAGAATTTCTTTATAAATAATCAAGGGAAATTTTAACTTTTTGTTTAACATTTTTTTTTTTGCTTAACTCTTGTCTCTGCAATTACCACAGTTGTGGGATTTTTTTTAAAGACTTGCTTTTGTATGCTTTATTCTGAAAAAGTTCCCTGTACTGGTGAAAAGAAAATGCCTTCTGGAGTCTCTGTCCAAAACATTCTATGACTGTCTGAGGTATTATTATTATTGCACTGTTTGTGGTTCTTTCTTTTTTCTTTTGTTCTTCTTTCTTTTTTTCTTTCTTTTTTTTCCTTTGATTTATTCCCTTTTGTTGCTGTTTTTGATTTCTGTACCCTTTGTCTTGTATGAAAGTTTATCTGATTTGGGGAAGGGAAGGAGAAGCACAAAAACAGTGGGACAAAGGGTAAACCAAATCCGCAGTCATACTCTGGTTTCTCTTCAGATCGTATAAATCTTTCATCTTTTTACCAAGTCAGCAGTGATACTCACTAGACATCATGTTGGAAATGAACTATACAACTTTGTAGGGAGGAGAGATGGGAGGGGAAAAACTGGGAGCGAATAGGGAGGGAGTGACACTGTTCAGAAGGAAATGTACTCATTACCTGACTCATTCAACTCTAACCCCTCTGTGCATCACCTTTACAATTAAAAAAATTAAGAAAAGAATAAGAAAAAAATGAAAAAAACAGGATAGTTTAACTGACTTTTTATATAGAGGATCTGCCCATTGATAAAAGTAGGGTGAATTCCCCTGCTAATCAATATTCCTACACTAGAATATTGTCATCTCTCTTTCCCTTTATACCTAAGGCTGTGTTTTTTTATAACGTTGTTTTGGCACTTGTTATATCTTCTAATTAATGATCCCTTGATGATTATGTACTAACCTTTTTGCCTCTACTTACATTTTATCTTAAGCTGTATAGTTGCTCATTTGCTTAGGGTTTCTACTTACACAAAGTATCATTTTCCATTCTGTCGTTTTGGGTTTGTACAGCCGTATGGCTGCGTTGCCCGGGCTGGCCTCTGCTCTGCCTTTCCTAGTGTCATTTACTTGGAGGTTGCCTTACTTTTCCATATTCTTGAGACCTTAAGTTGCTTCACTTTCCTAGGATGATTTGCGCACTAGATGCTTTCTTCTGAGTTTGAAGGAGTGGTCCTGTAAGTGATGCCGGCTTTGGGTCCACTTGGGTGTCATGGTGCAGACCGCTGCCCCTCACCCCCAGCATCCTTCCCTTGTTCAGATGTTTGGGTAGAGGATCCAGGGGTGGTAGGTGGAGAGCCCTTCTGTCTCCAGGACCCACTCTGAGGAAGTGGGACACCATGAAGGGGTGCAGGAGAATGAGGTGGCACCACGGCAAGAGTGGCCTCCCTCTATATGGAAGCTGTGAGAAAGGACAGGCACCCAGGGGCAGCTGGGAAAGCTGGACCAGGGGTGTGCCGGCCCAGGGCGTGGCTTGCGTTGCCCAGCGACGGCCGGGGGCGGGGACGACAGTAGCCCCGCCCACAACGCCCAGCCTTCTGCATTGGCTTCAGCCTCTGGGCTTAATGGGAGCAGCAGCGCAGGCACAGGCGTGGATTCTGCAGCCAGACTTGGTGTCCACCCCAGAAAGCCCCTGTAACTGGGCTCCAAGCCTTTGCCTCCTGTCTCAGGCGTCCACAAGATGGCACTGTGGAATCCCATGTCACCTTCCCCTGCAAGAGTTCCTCACCCAGAGGTGGGGTCGCTGTGTTCAGAAAGAGTTGTTCCTGTCCCTGTGCCACTGACTCAAGAATTGTGTGTCTTATCCGGCTGCAGCCTCTCTCCTGCCTGGTCCTTGTGGAGCTCACCTTAAATTAATTTATTCTGATTCTTTGTGCAGGAAGCAAAGAGGGCTGCGCACAAAGACATGGGTATATTGTTCTCTCTCCTCTGGAAGAGTTTGATAATTAGAATGTTGGTGATATATCAACATTTATCTGCATTCTTTGGAATCAATTTAGGGACATGTAGTTTTCAAGACAAGCATTTTTCCCATATACCTTGCACTTTAAAGTTAAAACATGCAAAAAGAAGGAGGAGGAGGGGGAGGAAGAGTGGAGGGAAAGGAGGAACAGGAGAAGGAAGGAAGGAAGGAAGGAAGGAAGGAAGGAAGGAAGGAAGGAAGGAAGGAAGGAAGGAAAGAAAGGGAAGGGAAAGGAAGGGAAGGGAAGGGAAGGGAAGGGAAAGGAAGAGAAGGGAATGGAAGAGAAGGGAAGAAGAGGAGTAGTTGAGCTTAGATTCTCAGTTGAATCTTATACTCAGTAAGCAGCAAGCATTATAAACACAACACAAAGATGATCTGATGTACCACCTCATAAAACCAGCCAATTAGTAATATATTTTGTACATATTGGTGATAAGTCAACAGCTAACAAAGTTCTTGTGGCTCATGGTCTATTGATACTGTCTACCTTTTCAAAATTCTTTTTGAGAATTTTGGCCATAAGACAGCCAACTTCTCATCTCTACAATATTATTCTTTTGCAAAAAATCAAGGACTTCCATAGTTTCCTTGTTCCAATACTCTAAGGTCCATGTTGGGGTTGGTAAGAAGTACATGGCTGAATTTCTAGGAAAAAAATGTTCTAAAAACAGTGAGACACACTTGTTGAAACTCTGTCTGTGATCTTGCTCCTACTATATCCAACGATTTAGTAGAAGTTGCCTGGCAGAACTTTACATGTTTCAGTGAGTAATAAGAATAAAATAGATTTGCCCATATTTCCCAACTGTCTCTTACCAGTGGATGTTCCAGAGCAAAGCCTATATCTTCTTTGATGTGGTATTTCTCAAGGCTTTCCAAAGTGCCTTCTTTTGGAGGAGACTGCTTGCCTGCCATTGTGGAAGTCACCTCTACTGACCCTCCTACTGAGTCTCAGCCTCCAGAGCATCTATTTATTATGGTCACCAGTAATCACGTCAGCAGGGAGAGATGACTTCCACTTTGAGACAGTTTCATTTTCTACTTTCCTTATTTGTCATATAATTAACAATCAAACCTCTATTTATCATTCTATTTATCATATAAAGAAACTGAAAGTTCATATTCTGTATCAGATGTTTTTTATCTTGGAGCATTCTTTGCTTAATGCTATCGCTATCTGGGAATCAAGACATATCTGATTAAAATGATTAGAATATGGATACAGGTAGACACTGTGGACACTATCATGCCTTTGATTTAAAGTAAGAACATTACTATGGATATCATCCTAAATTATCATTTAATTAGATCCCTGGCTTTCACTGAAAACACCAGAGGTCTTTGGCATCAGTATAGGCAATGCCGACATTCAACTAACACTCAGGGTCTCAGAAGAAGGGAACACATTGAGCTTTGGAAAGATCTATCTCCTAACTCCCCATTTTTCTTTCCTAGGTTCTCTTTTGTATTCAGAATACGAAGTATCATATCTTCATGTTCCTTGTTAGTCACATTTAGGAAGCTTGCCTGGTATCTCTACTATCTGCCAGCCAAAGAGGCCACAGTCCTGTGCATTTGGAGACTTGTTGAATATGTTAAAAGCTGAAGCTATGATAAGATAACTTAAAATCATTTGTTGTTGTGGTTGCAAAATACAAAAAGGCTCCATTTGACAATTTTTTTTTATAGTTCAGGCAAGTGTATGTTCACAGAGAGGTTCACTAAAACTGAAGCAAAAGCAGAAGCATATCATTCCTTTTGATGATCAAAAGGAAAGATAAGAGAAAGTGATTAATTTTCAGTACAGGAAAAGACAATGCTGCTTACCACCTGGATTATCAGCTTTGAAATAAACTAGTAAACCATGCGTTCGGTACACCCTGTAGCTCCCACATTACTGGGAACTGATGCTTTTACAAGAATATGTTCTCTTTATAAAACAAAGGAGGAGGGGAGTGGGGAGGGAGGGTAAGGGAAATTGAAACCAAAATAAAGAACAGAGGGAACACAAGGGTGAAGCTCTTTAACAGCTGACTCATAATGCATATGGAACCAGGCCCAAGGGTGTGAGTGATGAATTCCTACCATATTTGGAAGATAGAAACACTCATAAAATCGTAATGACTAGAAAATATGTGATGTTGCTATTATTTTTTACTCTTTGCACCTTAATCTATCTTTCTAGCTGCTGCTGCTGCTACTCCTCCTAATCCTCTTTTCCTCCTTCAAGAGCACTATAGACCCAGGCACCAGTGGCTCATGCCTATAATCCTAGCTATTCCAGAGGCTGAAATTTGAGGATCATGGTTCAAAGCCAGCCCAGCTGAAAAGTCCCAATGAGACTCCAATAAACTACTAAAAAATTCCACAAGTGAAGCTGAGGCTCAAGTAGTAGAGCATTAACCTTGAGCACAAGAGCCTCAGGGACAGCACCTAGGCCCTGAGTTCAAGCCCTAGGATGGGCAAAATTAAAGAAAGGGAGAAAGAGAAAGAGAGAGAGAGAGAGAGAGAGAAAGAGAGAGAGAGAGAGAGGGAGAGGGAAGGAGGAAGGGAGGGAGGGAGGGAGGAAGAAAGGAAGGAAGGAAGGAAGGAAGCAAGCAAGCAAGCAAGCAAGCAAGCAAGCAAGCACTATGGAAGCACCGTGGCTTAAACTCAGTCTAGGCATGACTCCAGCCCCCTTTTTAGATAGGTCTTGTTTTTGCCCAGTCAGGGACTGTGATCTTCTTAATTGCTATTTCTACTGTGGCTAGAATGACAAGTGAATACTACCACCCTTTTCTGTTGAGATGTGGGCTTGTGAACTTCTCTGTCCTCAGTGGTCTGGAATACAAGTTTTCATATCTCAGCCTCCCAACTAGCTACAATTACGGGAATGACTAACTGTTGCCTGGCTGAAATTTCCACCAGTTTAAATATCAAATGAAGTTTCAGATGATTCCAACTTGGAAAAAAAACTGTCAGAATTTGCTTTTCAAGTGGCAATTTTTAAAATTATTTTGAACTCTGCTTATGCAGTTATCTCACTCAATCTGCTCTACCTTTAGCTGTTCTGCTTCCTGTCTATCTCTACCCTTTCCCTGTCCTTCAAGTTGCTTCTTTCATACTTCTGAATCTTTATTCTCAAACAGTCTTGCCTTCTTTCATCTTGATTTTTCTTCATTGAAAACCTCCTTTCCCATGGTGGCAGAAGGACATTTTCATTTTATGCTCTCCTGTGGATTCTCATCCTCCTCTTTAACTCTCTACTTGTACTCAGGCTAACAAGCTAGAGAGTCTCAAAAGTCAGAACTCATCCTTTCCTCTGTGGCCTTGAGATTGAAGCTTGGTATGAATCTGCTTCTTTTGATACTCTCACTTACTTTGATAGCCTGGATGTTCTTTGCTATACAATAATTATATTTCTTGACTAAGCTCCTGGCTATAAAGATGGTATTATCCTCATTGACACCTGAAATATTCTGAGTAAGTTCTGCAGAAGAAATTTACCCATGACCATGCCAAATGCAAACATATTCCCTCTCACTGTGTCATCCTCAGTAACACATACAACTTTTCCTTTATCACTGTTCTACACTAATTTATGATAGACAATAGCTATACTTTTAAAAGAAATAACTTCTTAGTTTAAAAAATAAAATGAACTAGAACATTCAACAAGAACAAAAGAAATCATTGAAACATCAACAGTCACTGGTGGTCAGCATTAACACAGGATTAGTTTTTACGCTATTTATTTTTGTTCAAGTTAATAATAGTTTTTTCTGTGCATTTATGTGTGTCAAGGATTTTCTAAAAACTTTGCTGTAGTGACCAATTTAGCTCTCAAAATCGCCTCCTTAGGAACATTGCATGATATTCCTGAAAGGAAATTAGAATGGTTCATAATTTCCAATGCATTTAATTGCCTAAACAAAACATGATGAAATTCCCTGTTAGGGAAGAAAATATTTTAAACCTCAAAGTATTTATACCATCTTAATAGATGTATGATATCTATTAAAAGAATAAGTCTACATATGGTACAACATTATGGAAAATAGTAAGCTGTAGAAAGATTTTTTTAAACAGGAGATTATAGCTACCAAGAAACAGACTTTGAAATCCATTATTTAATATATTCAAAAAATGTAAAAAATGAAATAGATTATAAACTGTTGTAAATGTAAATAATAATCAAATTAATATTCCAAAATTTGCATAATGGAGAATTCATGGACTTTCAGATGTTGCAAGGGAAAATATAGAAAAAATCTTAAAGAGAATATAAACTACAATGATTATGGTGAAAAAGAAAGAGAAAGAATAGAGATTAAAGGTATTGGAGGAAATACAATCTGGATTCAATCATACTTTAAACAAGAGTGGAGGGCATACTGGACCTCAAGCCTTTATGGGCTTTATGGCCTTTTATAGGCCCTTGAAATCATTTGATCATGTGATCATGTGATCCTAGCAACAATCCGAATAATAGACTACCATAATATAAAGTTCACAAGGAAACAGCCCCTGAAAGAAAAAAGATTCTCAGAGTGGTAAGGAAGAGGACAGGCAGTATTTTACTAGAAGCTGAAGATTTTTTAAACATGATAAAAAGACACCGAGTCCCAACTAGACAAAACAATCAAATGAAGTTAAGCAGAATAAAAACCAGAGCCTATCTCATCACAGTCAATATTGCTCAATTTTTCATATGTTGAAATTTTCTAGAAGAATGCAAAGACTTTTCAAAGATCGCTGATATGACTAATGGTTGAATTATCAAAGAAAAAGCTGAACACTGAGGCAATGGTATGAAAAACTGTGAATGCTGAGGAGAAAATGCAAGTCAAGTTAAGAAAAAATAAAATACCATTTAAGAATGTTAATCTTCATTACAACCCAACTCTTGGGCATCAACTATACTCCCAGACATCTGCCCATAACATCACAAGCCAGGATACCTTAAAGATACTTGTACATCCATGTTCACTGCTGTGAACACAATAGCCAAGTTATAGAAACAGCCCAGATGCCCTACAATACCTGAGTGGATCCAAAAAATGTAGCACCTATACATAGTGGAATTTTACACAGCCATTAGAAAGAATAATATTATGTCATTTACAGGGAAATGAATGGACTAGAACAAATCATATTAAGTGAGATGAGCCAAGCCCTGAGAGACCAACTGTTTTCTGTCATATGTGGCATATGGAACATATGGGACATGTTAAACTATGCAGGACTTTAGGCACTCATGTACAATGAGACCAAAGTAGGATTTTCTTAGGGTAGGAACACAATAGCTCAATACCTCTTTGGCTCTGATCATATAAAATGATATTTATTGAAATGAATTCTAGAAAATGGAAACAAGAGGCTTCATTTTTCTTTTTGTCTTGTTCACTTATCTGTCTTTGAGAGGATAAAGAGAGGCCATAGAAATGGAGGAACAAAGGATGAACAAATGCAGCAGTGATACTCACTATATACTACATAGAATATGAGCCATACACATTGTGGGCGGGAACAGGAGGAGATAACTGGGAGAAAGTGACGGAATGAGTGACATTGTCTAAAAAGAAATGTATTCATATGTATGTATATATATATATATGTGTGTGTGTGTGTGTATATACACATAAATATACACGTGTATGTATATAATATAATATATATTGACTTCTCCCAAGGGCTCTTATTTTTCCAGACATGGACATGCTCTCCTGCTTTGCTTAGGGATAAGAGATGGCTGAGTAACACTTGAGAAGCTAATTAGGCTGCTGTATTTCTGTCTAACCTTAGGTACAATCCATTCCAAGGTGATTACCTCATATCTTTTAAAATGCTACTAAATAACCATTAAGCATACTTTACTAATATATTTTATGTACAATAAAACTATGATTTACAACAATAAACTATTTTATACAAGCAACACAGTAATTAAATATATTGTGATGTG